CTCTGTGCCTTAATTTTGTTGTCTGTACAATAGAGATAAATTCATTTGATTATTGTGAATATTAAAACAATTCAGAAATGTTAGTTACACTGATGTTTACCTAAAAAAAAATATTTTAGTAGATTATTTGTGCAGTGGTTCAAGAATATGTTTGGAAAGTTATTATCCAAGTAGATAGTTATCACCTTAGTAAGTTAGTAAGGTAGAGAATAATTTAGAAATTATGAATATTGGAGTATATTATTTATATTTTAGTAGATTATTTGTGCAGTGGTTCAAGAATATGTTTGGAAAGTTATTATCCAAGTAGATAGTTATCACCTTAGTAGATTATTTGTTTGGTGGTTCAAGAATATGTTTGGAAAATTATCATCTGAATTCATAAAGTTTATGTTGGTTGTATATATGGTCTTTGAAGGACACCAAAAAAGAGCCTTGATCAGAACATTTCAAGTACTCACAGGAAATATGTTCACTACTTACTAGGGTCATACATGTGTCTGACTGTGTCTAGCAACCTTTGGAAACAGCAAGGACAAGATTAAGTTTTCGTTGGCTAGCTGCCATTATTATTTATTAATTATATTATTATTTATTAATGTTGCTGAGGATCAAACTTAGGACCCCCATGCTTACTAAGCAACCTCTCTACCACTGAGCTACATTTCCAGCTTCTGGTACTATTTTGAAATTTTAAGAAAGCTTATGTTTAATTTAGTTACATTCTTTACGCCCTATATAAAACACTGCACAGCATATTTTCAAGTTTTGGAAGCCATGGTAAAAATACATTATTACTAATACTCTATTATGCATTGTTGGCAGAGTGACACTCTGGACAGCTTACCTTGCTTATTGAGTGGCAAGACATATTTAGTAACACTATGAAGTTGAGTACATTGTTTAACTGATGTGAATTTGGCTTTGCCTACCTGTAAGTGGAACTGATAATAGCCTAGAAATTATAAAAGTATTATATTTTGCTGAATTTTAGAGTTTACAAAAATCCTTTCTTAACAGACTAGTAATATTTATAGGATTTCTGAAGCTTCATTAACAGCAGGAAGCATGGATGAGTAGGTAATAATGTATTTAATGTATTCATCATGTATTGGACAAGATTGTCAACAGTGTGGTAGAATGGTTAGTAATGAGACTTCTCTGTTTTTTTTGTTGTTTGTTTTTTTCAACTGAGGTTTTAGTGCTAACATGCTGCTAGTGAACATGACTCTAGAAAGCCAGGGTTCTATACATTTTACTTTCTGTTACTCTGATTTGTTGCAGAACACAGTGTCCTCTTATTTTCAAAAGCTTTTTTTTAAAACTTAACTGGGTTAGTGTATTTTGATCTATAAGTCTAAAATAACTATAAGGCAAATAAAATGTATTTCCCTAGGAATAATTCAGATCTCACTACCATATTTTTTTAATTTAACAATTTATCAGAATTTTTATGAACATTTCTGATCTTATTTATTTTTATATGTGAAATAAAGAACTGAGAATTTTGATAACCTATTCTGTGATTTGTATGTAACTTTGTTGTATATTTTGAATTTTTATTTACGATGTTCCTAGAAGAAAAATGAAAGCTATTTGTAAGTACAAAGCTCAGACTCTATAGTTATCATGTTAAGTCTTTTTGTTCACTGAGCTTCTATGATCTTCTTGATACCTTATTTTTCCTTTTCTTTTCCCCTGATATTTTCAGATGTTTTGGAATGTTATTAAGCCCAGGTCGAAACGTGAAGAACAGTGACATGCATTTACTGGATATGGTAATGATACTCTTAAACACCTTAATCAAGTACAGATTATAGTTATTTTATATATATTTTTAAATTCTATGTGTATGAGTGTATTGCCTGCATCTATGTGAGTGTATTGTGTGGTGCAGTGCCGCGGAAGTCAGAAGAGGGCTTTGGATTCCCCTGGAACTGGAGTTAAGGACGGTTCGTAGCTTCCATGTGGTTGCTGGGAATCGCATCTGAGCCCTCTGCAAGAGCAGTCAATGCTCTTAAACTCTGAGCCATCTCTCCAGCCCCCCAGTTATTTTATATTTTAAAAATATTTTCTGCTTTAAAATTTTGTCATATTGTCAGAGTTGTTTCTTTTAACTTTGTTACAGCAATAATTAAATTTGGAAACTTAACTTATGAAAGAAAGATTAGGACAATTTCTACTAAAATGATTCCCTGTGGGTTGAAAGCACATAATAGGATGCTGTTTTGACAGTGTCCTTCTATTTCATCTGTTTGACTTCTTAGGAGGATGACTTTTCTTTGAGCCCCAATAATAAATATGTGATTATAACAAACATCTCCAAAATGAATATAGTACCTTTCATTTATTTTAATGCACTACTAATTACAGTACTATGATGATGCTTGTTTTCTTTAAACTATTCCCCTTTCTGAACTTATCCTTATTTTAGCAAAGTATATTTACAATATTTCTTCAATCATTGCTTTGAAATTAATTATAAAGGTTGATATTTGGTGTCAGAGTAGCAATGCATCTTAATTCCTAAATAGAAATACCTTCGAATATAGAGTTAGTGAAAATACTCACCTCGTGATTTAGCATGTTATAGAAATTTGTTGTATTAGAATAAGCATAAAATTCCTTAGTTGGTGAACTTAGATTTTAATATTTAGTGGTAGTAGACACCACTTTTATCTCCTTTCGTGTTTAAAACTGCCACTTAACTATCACTATGTGAAGTTTTTCTTTTAATTATTTCATAGCAATTATATCAGTACTGATTTTCTGTCTATTGGAAATCTTTCAAGATTTTGGGTACTTGATTGTTTGCAAAACATTGTGTGAAGTGTTGAGGTTTCAGATATGTGTAAAATATAGCTCTTACTATCTGTGGGTTCATAGTCTTGTGCTGGAAATATACCTTTTAAGTATGTAACTTTAGCAGTGGGCTAAGTGCTCTCTCCAGTACATAGTGAGCCATGAAAATAGAGAGGAAGCACTGGCTAGATAGGTCATTTAAGGATAATCAGTTACATTGAATGTGAAAACATAAATTAGTTATTAATCCATCTTTCTTCAACCCTTCTTTATAACATATCAGTAATAAATGTTGGTCTTCCTAAGGCAAGCCTGCAGCATTGTAGAGCCCTGAGAATTCCTTGAGGAGGTCATTTTGAGACTACTTAGGCATCATAAAAATTTTAAGATACTAGGTACTAGTTATGATATTTCAGAATTTAAAAGATTAAGATGAATCATTGCCAGATATTTTTCCATAAAACCTAAAATCAGATTATAACATTATAGAACTGGTATGAATGTATCACGCCCTCTTGTCAGGTTTGTGTAATAGCAATACTCCACCTTTGTGTCATCACAGTCAAGGCCTTGTCAACAGCATTCACATTCCTGAAAAGAGAAGGAGGCTTAACTGCACCACAGATAGTCTGGACAGTGGTAGGCTTTGTGTTTACAATTAATAGTTGTGATTTGCTATTATCTAGTGTTGTTAATCTTCATAATATCTTAATAAATAGCCACTGACACTTGGCCAGATTACCTCTAATAAAAAAGAATTCATTGTCTTCTATCGAAGACAAAGTAAAAGTTCTGATTATTTAGCAGTTATTCTTCAGAATTATCCATAATTATATTTTTTACACTTTGCCTAATTAGTCTTGATTTTGTCTTAGAGAGTAGGATATTAATATTTTTGCTTCTCTGGCATATCTAAATGTCATGTGAAATAAAAAAAATCATCTACTTTAACAGACTTTGAAAAAGCATGGAAATTACATTCCATTTAATTAAGCAATCTGTGAAACTTTTTAATTTGTATTGAATAATTTTTAAGAAATATTGACTTCTTCCCTGTGAATATTTTCTGATTAGGTGAATTTAAGCTTTTTTTAGTTTATTAAATCCATCATTGTAGTTAAGATCTTCATGAATGGGAATGTCATATTTACAGATGACACTATATTTGTTACTTTTCTCATTGCTATGACAGAACACATGAAAAAACTAATTTAAAGGAAGAAGGATTTTCTAAAAAATTTTGGCTCATGGTTTAAGAGGGTTCAGTCCAGCATGATGGGGAAGGCATGGTGCAGTTCATGGTGGCAAGAGCTGAGGTGGGTTTCCTCACACTAGTTAAGACCAGAAAACAAAGAGCAGGGTGTGCTGGCACTTCTCCCCCCTTTTTATTCAGTCTGCAGTCCCATGGACTGCTGTCCCACACATCCAGAGTGGATATTTTTCACCTCATTTAAACCTCTCTGGAATTGTTCTTAAGAGATTTGTCTCCTAGGTGATTCTATATCCTGTTAATTATTATGGGTACAGTTTCATTTATATTTATGTATATGCACACATGCACACACAGAAATAAAACCATACGTGATAAAGTTTTAGTTTTGTTAGGGAAATGAAGAGTACGAATAACATTGAATCAGTTTTTCTCAATAATGAGAACATTTTTGGTCAGGGAACTTGTAGAATACGAATAAAGAAGGAAGTAATTCTGATGCACTGTTGCTGATACATAGGAAGAAGCCTAGCAGCAAAGTACCAGAAACAAAACAAAACAGAACAGACTAACAAACAAAACCATGAAAACTCAGTAAATTTAGGTTCCATGAAAGTGGAACATAAATTATAGTTTAAAAATTTCAGTATTAAAGATGCTTCAGGAAGTTTGTGGATCTTTATAATTAATCATTTGTGGATACTAGACTAGAAACTGGACCTACAGAAACACATTTTATTATTGTATTATAATCCAGTACACTTATAATGTGTGTGTGCATATAAAAACACTGAAGTAAAAGTTTCATGAAGAAGTCTTTAATCCTTACATGTGTGACAAACTGCTATTTTCTCTTCTGTTTGTTCCCTCCCTACCCCCACTGCTCCCTTTCTCCCTTTCCTTCCTGTCATTTGCCTGCTTTTTTTAATCTGAATAATTTATAATTAAAATTTTCTTTTTAGAAAGGGTCTTGCTGTATAGCCTAGGCTAGTCTGTAACCAAGAATCCTTCCTCAGCCTTCTGAGTACTGAGATTACAGTTGTGCATGAGCATACCTGGCTTTGTATGTTAATGTAATATTTATTTTTTTCATTTCTTGGTTATTGCTTACCAGTTTTCTAGTACACTTACTTGCTGTTCTTTATATATTTTAACTATTACATAATTTATTGCTGTTTTGTATGAGGCTTGTGAACTCTAAGCTTTCACTTCTTACTGTCCAGCTTCCTAGGTATATGTTAGTTGAAAGAAAGATTATGACTGATTCACCTCCTCCTTCTAGACGTAAGCACAGGAAATGTTCAGGTGCAGAAATAGATTAGTTCTTTTGGGTAAGAATCCCTTTCCTGTTCTGAATTGGGCTAATTAGTGGGGATAGTAGAAGGATAGTGGAGTGCGTGTGTGTGTGTGTGTGTGTGTGTGTGTGTGTGTGTTTGTGTGTATGTATGTATGTGATATGTATGGATGAGAGGTAGAGTGGTCTTATGATCTTAGGTGGAATTACAAAATGAGTTTCCTTTACAAATGGCATTGAGTAGCATCATCTCTGGAATGCAGAACTTCTGAGCTCATATGTATGTATATATATATATATATATATGATTTGATTAGCAAATTATTACTAATATGCTAGAAAAATATAAATAATAATGAAGCAA